CTCCCAAGTGCTCCACTGCCCTGGGGTCCTCCCCGCTGCCCAGTCAGTTCTCCAGTTTTCCTACTCATGAAACATTCCCAGTTTGTGCTGCAGCCCCCAGGAACACCTGTGCCCAGACTCCAAGAGCCTGAAATTGGCCTCACCTTCTACTTGCTGCTGGCAGCTGCTGAGCATGCCCCAGAAGTTTAGGGTGAGACTCTGTGCATCCTACAGGCGCCTTGGAGGAGGCAGCCTGCGGTCTCAAGCTCAGAACTGGATCTAAACTTCTGGCCCTGGCTGTGCGCACCGGGATGCGCATCCAGAACAAAGAAAAAGAGGAAAGGAAACTGCTCTTTTCTCCAGAAATAATTTCACCTCAGTGGGGTAGTCCTCTCTCCGCTCCACAGCCCTTGCCAGTCTCTCCCGCCTCCAGCCTGGTGTACAAGCCCAGTCTGGAAAACCACACGAAATGATCCTCCAAGGGGCTGTTGGCTTGAGCTCTGGCACGGCAGCCTGGGACATGCCTGTCTACGTCCTCCCGGCCAAGCACTTACCCAACAAGGATACAGTCAGGATTTTGGCGGCCTCCGAGAGCAGGAGCCCAGGCAGTAGGAATCCGACTAGAAGCAGCACCCGCTGCTCCCCCATCCTCGCTTCTGCAGGAGCTGAGGTGCGGAGCCCAGTGCTGCGCGCACCGCGCGGGTCACAGGAACCTGTGCGCGCTCCGGGCAGGCGGCGCGTAGGAGGTGAAGGAAAGGCTCGGGCTGGGAGCCTGCTGGGAGGTAAGAAACTATCCTGCCCCGTCTTCCCTTCTGTTTGTCCTCTCTTGCCCTTTGGCCTTTCCTCCTTACATAAATACACATTGGATATTCTGTCCGCACCCTCTTTAAATATGGTCAACAGGAAGGAGGGGTTAGTGAACTGCTCTGTTAGTGAACTGCTCCGTAATGCCTCTCTTTTCCACGTTAACACTATATCCTCCACACTGAAAATACTCTGAACCAGGAATGGTAGGGACCTTAGGAAATCACATCGAAGAAAATTCCATCTGTAAGTAATTCAGACCCAGCGCCCTTTTAGGGATCCATCCAGAAGTAATGGGACCCTATCTCCTTTCGAACTGCTCTAATGATCTCATAGGGCCATCTATATGCCTCATTTCCCCAGGTAACTGCTTAAAATCTCTGCTGGTGTCTCAAGCTCAAGATCTCAGAAGCTGATTCCCAGAGAAAAATGACCTGCATTTATTGTTCAGAGAGTTTCTTTGGAAAGTAACTTATTCATGAAAGGTGCTAGTGGACTGTGTTAAGCACCTCTAGAATCCGGGTCTTTCCCTGGAGGACTGAACTTCTTCTAAAGCTGAGACTGTAATTCTGAATGAGAATCACAGAATAGAACTGGTGGGCACCAAGAAGTTCTACCTTTATAAATATATGAAATTTTTCTTTAGGAAGTTTTTAAAACTCTCCCAATATTATTTCATTTTTTTTCCTTCTTGTAAATCTCTCCGTGTTTGGGCTATACACTTTGAGGTTATGTGATTACATGCATATTCATTGACAGTTATCATCTTTTTGGATATGTCTTCTCAGTGAAAAAATTAATCTGCATTATGAAGGTACCATTTAACATTTATGCAATCACATTACCTTATCTACTAACTTTATTCATATACTACCAATTGTCCCAGTGATATCCTATGCTGTAATATTAGTTTCTGGTTCAGGAACCAATCCAGGATCACACGTTGCATTTAGTTGTCTTGTCTGTTACATCTCCTTTAGTACAGATTGATTTCTCAGCCTTTCTTTGTCTTTCATGTCATTGACATTAAAGAGTACAAACCATTTATTTTGTAAAATGGCCCTCAATTTGGGTTTGTCTGATGTTTTCTTATTATACTTTGGGTTACAAGGTTTTGGCAGAAATACTACAAAAGTAGTGTTGATTCTATCTCAGTGAATCACAATAGGAAGCACATGATGACAGATTGTCCTATTATTCATTACAATAATTTTGATCACTTGTTTAAGGCAGTGTCCACCAAAACTTCCAACTTTAAAATTATTCTTTTTACCCTAAATTAGGAAAGAAGTTGTAGGGAGACATTTTGAAACTGTGTAAATATTCTGTTCTTCAGCAAACTTCACTCATTCATTTTATCATCTTTTCTACTTCTTGCCTAAATAAACTTTTACTGTATTGGCAAATTAATGATTGTTAACTCCATTCTCTGTCTTCATTTACTGTATGGCATATAAAAAGTTTGTTACAAAAAGTTTTGCCTTCTACCCCATCTATTTAATTATCTATCTGTCTATAGCTATTTATTTATTATCAGTATTTACTCCTGGGTCTATATCTATTCAATGGAATATACTCTCTTACCATCATTATTTATTTTAGAGCTTTTTCTTTCTTTCTTGCACATGATTTCCAGACTCATCTTGTACTTTCCTTGTCTCTGTCTTAAAATCATCCAGTTCTCAAGCAAACTTTTCAGTAGGGAATGGTATTTAGAAATCTGCATATGGTTGCTCAGAATGCTCACTGCTAATGAAGCACGACTGTTTATATCCCTTCCCAATGGACAGAGTTATGAAATACATAGGTATAGATTTGAATATAAATACCATATTATATCCTCTCTATATAGCTATATTTATATTTAGTTTATAAAGCTTATAAATTCACACTGATGCCTTCAATTTGAATGCCAACCACAGCAATGAGTCTAATCTTCCCATTTCCGTATTTGTAACTCCCCTTTTCAAAGTCAAGAAATCTGACTCCCAGCTTCTGTGGTATAGTCACAGATTTGCTCGGCTGTACTGTGCACTGAAAGAAGGTTCTGATGCAGTAATCCACCGACTGTGAAAAACAAAACTGCTCAATAGAGTACAAGATTTTTTGCAGCTCTTTTTTTCTTCATCCCCACAACACAAATATCCAAAGTACTGCGTTCAAAAGGCAATTGTTGGATCGGATTTGTGGTCACCAAAAGTGGGGCTGCAGGAAGGAGGAACTGGATGAAGGTAGTCAAAAGGCACAAGCTTCCGGTTATACGCTAACTCAGTACTAAGGATGTAAAGTGCAACATGATAAATATAGTTAACACTGCTATATGTTATATATGAAAGTTAAGAGAGTAAATCCTAAGAGTTCTCATCACAGGAGAAAATCGTGTTTTCTATTTCTTTAGTTTTGTATATGAGGTGATGTGTGGTAGTCGTCATTTCATGATGGAAGAAGGTCAGACCAGTATGCTGTACAGCTTCAATGTACACAGTGCTGTATGTCAATTATATTTCAGTAAAACTGGAAGGAAAAAAGAAAAGAAACTGAGGCACGAAAGGGTTAAGCAGTGTGGTAGAGTCAGGACTTGAATTTAAGAATCAGACTCTTAGGAGATCTCATTGGCCAAAGGTTCTGCACATGTTTGTCAGAATCCTCTGGGGGTATTTGGTAAGTCTCTTTCAGTTCCTCTAAACATTTATAAATGGAATCACACTATACATAGTGTCACACAACTTTTGTTTCCCCCACTCGGCTATAACTTGGACATCTTTCCATGTTGATACCTATGTTTCCGTCTCATTATTAGTCCCTTATCCTTCACTGTCGCCCACGTGGGGTCTGTTCACCCCGGCCTGCCTCTCAGCAAGAATCCTGCGGGCAAATTTAGCTAGAATCTCTCCTTTACTGCTGATGTCTCTTCACAGTAATTTTCCATTCACTGACCCCTACTCACCCCCTTGGCTAAAATCCCCACTTTTCCTTGTTTGGTTAGAGTTGAGTCCAATCTCTCTCCCCCACTGCAGGGCAATGATGTACTGATCCCTACACCCATCAAGATAATCCCCCCCCACCCCACCCCCCTATGAATGAAGCCTTCCTCACCACCTTTGTCAGAATCATTAAGTAATTTTTTAACACTCCCTCATTCTGCTTATTGGCTATGAATCCCCAGCTGCCCCTGCTGCACTTGGATTCCAGTTTCTCTTCCCTGTTGTAATAATCTTGGACAAAGTCTACCTTGACAGGGTTAACAAGTGTCAGCATAATTTCTCTTTAACAAGTGTAGTGTTCACTGGAAATGGGCAAGGGGAGGGTCACTGAAGATGGACCGACAGCGGTAAGCAGAGATGAATCCCAGAGGCCTTGTATTCCGTGCAGTGGGAGCCAACAAAGGGTTTCAAGTAGGGAGTTGTGAGATCAGGTTTCCAGGTCCCCAAGACTGTGCTGGCAGGCCTGTGGAGGATGCTTGGAGGGAACAAACTAGAGGCATCGTTGTCCACAGCTCACTGGCGGCAGCTGATCAGATTTCAGGAGTGGGGGTTGGCCTAAGCAAGCACCTGCCACCGAGTTGGCCCCAGTGACTTACCAGATGTTAAGGGAGAGCTTCCTGCTGGGTGGGGGAGGAAGTATTTCTAGCAGCTGTGCCAATTTTTTCTTTTTAATCATCGCACGATCTGTTTAACGAACCTAGAGCAATCAAAAACTGTGGTCCTCCCGGAGCCACTCCATACGTCTAACATTTCCTCCCTATATTTTTAACCATCAGATACCATGTATTTGAAAATTTTAGGGAGGAATTTAATTCCACCTGAGAAAGAAGAAGCAAATATGAGAATATAATCATTTGAAGATGAAACATTTCAATGAAAACCATATACAAGAGACAGTTTTGTGCTTGAATTTAGGAAGAAAGAACAAAAGTTTAAAAAAATAATGATAAAATTGTAAATATACGCATACATGGAGGGAGAGAGAAAAGAGAAACCGGTAAACATAAAAGAGCCACTAAACCAGCACTCCTTGCTGCAACCAGGTTTTGCTGAAGAAAGAAACACCAAACAGACAATTCAAAACCCTAGAGTTTAAGCTACACTTTTTCTTGTTTCTGTTACTGTGAACCGAATGTAATCCCTAAGGGTTTGCCATGTACGGGTGTTCTCTACTACGTGGGGGTGACAGATGGAATGTTTAGTAAATCAAGAGTTCAA